TAATTCAGATAGCACATCCAGCCAGGTTGCTTTGGGCAGAAATGCATGTGACCAGCATCACAGCCTTTGGCCTTGTACTGCCATCCAAGATCCTCAGTCCTGCAGTTGTCTCCTCAGGCACTTGTTTGCCCACAAATGATGCTCACCTGAGTGCCTCACATGGGTGGACAACTGTCCACTTAAAGCTGACAAAACCAGAGATGAAGCACCTGCTGAAGGTACACCATTGCCCTACACAAGCAGATCCATGCATTCAAACAGACTCTGTGAATCCACATGGGCACAGCAGGACATTGCTCAGAGCAGCTGCTGGACTGGGTGATGCTTAAGGAGTGACTCGATAAACCTGAAACATTAGGCCAAACCACGCCTTAATTTTCTTCTGCAAGTCTACCCAGACTCGTTCCTCTCTTCTTTCCAATGGACAATGATGCTGCAAGGCTGTGCCACGATTTCACTTTCAGTGATCTTCATTCTTATCTACATTCTCATCTGCCTTGCAAATCAGCTGCTCAGATCTGCTTCACAGGTGTCCACACACTACCTGAGCACAGGCTAGCCTCACTCAGATCTGCAGACCATGAAGCTGCATTGCAAACATGTTCAATCACCCCCTGCTGTTTAATGTTCACAAGATTTATAAGCTTTTTTTAATTTACATTTATTAATCATCTACAGTCTCAGCTATTGCTCATTCTAACATCCTCCTGGATCAGCTGAGTACAGCTAGGGCGTTCCACGGCCAAGGCTGATACCAGACCTTGCAGCTGCTCCCCTCTGCGCACAGTTTGGAAGTTTCACTGTCTGGCCCACAGGAATTCCTCTCCATTTCCATCTGATGTAATCACTACTCTATGACTTCCTACCATGGTAGCTCTGCAAAGCCAACCTCCCCATCAGAACATCTCAGTTTTCACTGCAATCTTTGTTATATAATTCAAACAAGGAACAGCAAAACCAGAATCAGATGCTTTCTTTAACTAAAACATGATCCCCACAATAGTTATACAATATAAATAGTGAGTGGTATCTGAAAACCTGTACATTGAAGATGGAAAAAATGCATCATCTTTGTGTCTTCCTGAAGAGGAAGGCTTCTGCCACTTCTCTAATAATGTCATGCTTTGGATGTCTGAAGACATTAATTTTCATGGATGGAAAAGTGTAAGAAACACAGGAATTATCACACTGGATCCCATCCAGTGTCAAAAATGGAGGAACAGTCACACTGGATCCCTTCCAATGCTCTTTCGTGTCTCCCAGCCCATACAGTTACTTAGAAGACATAGTAAGGCAAAAAGTTTCAAAGAGAAAATGTCAATAATCTACCCTCTTTCTCCTCACAGTGTCATTGTATCAAAAGCTATTAGAGATTAACCTAAACCTCAGAGCACGACATTGCAAAAAACACTGTCACAGCTCAGAGTACCTTTTGGCTCCCTAGGAAAACTGGAACCCTGTTTTGAATCTTGCTGAAGTCTTGGCCCCAGTGAGTTTCAATGAAGAATTAATTCCACAATGTAATTACACTCAGAGTGAATTTGCCAAGTTTTAAGTTATTTAAATATCCCCCTACCCTCTGCCACAAAGAGTTCATGACATACCTTCTCTGCAGCATTCATTATTTGACACACTCTTGTCAGTTCCTCCTTGCAATATAATTAATTCCAGATTTTCAAGAGTCTTTAGATACAGTTTTTTTCTGTGCTGTTCATCATTCTCACCCTGCTACCACAGCCACAGGCCAGTTCCCCTGTGGGTAAGGCAAGGCAGTGGGTAGTGAAGGGAGAAACACTTGGATCATGCTCCAGGAGTTTCCCAGTGCTCCCCATCCACGGTTCCCAGCTGCCAGTTCTGTGCAGCACTGCCCACCTATCCCAACTACTGACACCCACACTCACATCTCTCTTCTAACCCAACTGCTCCAGCTTGAAAACTCTGAATACACACCTTTATCCCAGAGCCAGTTTTACAACCTCTTACCAGCTCCCAAACGTTAAGATCCCTCAGCTATGTTAAACTGAGGAAACTCAACAGATCTGCTTTTATAGTAAGGTGCTCCAAGGTCAGAGGTTTAAAAGGAAAATAAAACCCCATATATCACACACAGAACATATTTGGACTACTTCATAATCTCAAACAAAAAAAAAATAAATATTATATGCATCATTTATTTCTATATTGCTAAAAGCCTTCCTTATAATGCTTGCAATTTCAGTACCATCAATCATTATGTCATTATTAGGAGTGAGTTTTTCTGTTGGATTTTTTTCTACTTTGTAGTTCCCCTCTTTTTTCCCTTGGCTGCCTAGTTACTTACTGATGTAAAAATCACATTTTTTCCAGGATAGCACAACTTCTCTGGTTCTTTCCAATCAAAATTATGCTACCCCAGAATGCTCTCTGGACTGAAGCAGAAAGGTTTGAACATCCACATCAGTCTAAACCTATCTCATTTGAGAATATTAAACCCAGGAGAGTAAAAGCGTTGAAGTGACTATGAAGACAAAGACGTATTTTTGCTTCATCCAAGTTAGAAAGCAGACTTCAGCTAATAAAAGAAAGAATCCTCTTTCTACTTGTTTCTTGTTAGGATTCTGTTGCAAATCTTTCAAAAAGAAAAATAACATCACATCCATCACACTCTTACTAACCCCTTCCCTACAACTTGTCTCCAAAAAGTGGTTAAGGGAGTGGCTACTGTATAAATATTTCTAAATACCTTAGTGGCTTGTGACTTTAAATCAGATATACACACACAGTTTCCTTTTCTTTATGTCTTTGAAACCGTACATATACATATATACACTGTGTATATATACTGTATATGTATATATATATATATTCATATAAAATAAAAATAATTTACTTTTTGTTTAGGAAGCTGGAGGACAGTTTCCTTTTAAATGTATAAAGAAATGTTGTCAAGCCTCTACACCAAAAATATTTGCTGACTTCTTTAGACATGGGTAACTCCTATACAAGAGTTCTGCATGATTACTTAAAAAATCAAATGCAAATATTGTATCAATGAATGCCAAAGTGAAATCAGCACCCATCTCAGTAACCTGGAGGAATAAAGTCCTTTCTTTTTCAACTTGCATTTGCACTGATATTTAGGTACATGCCTTATATAAAGATATCTGAGACTTCTTTCGCACAAAAGTTATGATACAACTTACAATCACTAACTCTTTAGGCTCATAAATTCTTCAAGGGCTCAAAACACCAGAGCATCCTAAAGCTGTAACTTGGGTTGTGATTACAGGTACTCTACAGGCATGTCCAGGTAAGATCGGTCCATGCTTTTAAAAATCTATGCAAATTCAGAAGTAGCTCTGCAGGTATCTTTGCTTACCAGTGAGCCACTGCTGGTTATGGCTGACTAAGGGAAGAACGTGGACAATCAGGATGCAAGTAAAAAATTTTAAAATATATATATTGACTATTTTTTTTTTATTAGGTTAAGTTCCCATTTGCCAAAAGGGCTTATGTAAGGCTTACAGCTCCTAGGAACAAACACTGAAATGAAATGTCTTTCTTTCAAATGACATTAATTTACAAAACTGACTGCTTCTGACCCAGAAACCATCATTGTCTGGTGTTGACCTGGTCTGTAGTTTCAGGTGCACTATCAGAGCATATTAGGACACACAGAGCCTAGTACAGCACTTTCTCTGCAGCTTCTAAGCACCACTGGAATATAAATAATGTGTAATAACAAGCATTTATACCTCCACCATGAAAAAACACTTGCCCTGGGTTGTATACCTCAGGCTGTGTATAAATTTTTACTCCTTAACCTATGCAAGCTGTATGTCAAACAGCCCCTTTAAAAATCACAAGTTTTTGCAAAGTCAAGCACTGCATAATGGCTTATTTCAGAAGTTACACTCTGCATACATATGTATGAAGAAATAACAAGGGAAAAAAGCAGCTCAGCTTATTTGTCTTTTGGTCACCTAATCAAAAAGGTGACTGGATTAATTTTTACTATATATCAATGGAGTCACTGGAGAGCAACCACAACTGTTTTTCCATGTGGCAGATGAATGACCTTTGCCATGGCCTCAGAGAAAGACAAGCCCATGTTTTGTCCAGGTACACCAGGGCCACAGTTCCCTTCTGCCTGCTCATGTAGGGATGATCAGATGTGCTACATCAGTGCTTGCTCTCTTTCCTTTCTCACAGCATACCAAGGGGCTCATTCAATTTCTTTCATAGGAGATCAGGCGGACACCAACCAGGAAAAGATGTAAAATATTAAGGATGCTTGCTATGCATGATCAGAAGGGGATACACAAAGTATTTCTCAAGGGAAATCACTGCCCTAGTTCAGCCAAAGTTTTTAACACTACAACTGAAGATCACAGAGTGGGACAGACATTGACATACGTACGTAAAACCCACGTATGCACCCCTGAAATTCAAAAAGCCAAGGAGTATCACAGATTCGTCTGAAGCTCACTACTGCCTTTCCTCCTGCAAAACACTGTCACTTTGTGAATTCTCTTTCCCATAAGGGTCAATTCAATGCACTTTTTTCAGGACTATACCACCCACAACTTTACAGAGTCCTCTCTTCTTGACCTTACCTCTTTGTCCTAGAGAAAATGGCACAGCTTGCTTTCATTTAAGAGTTTGGCAAGTCACTGATGGAGCCTCAGTGGGTCCCAGAGATGTTATTACCATGGTTTACAGAGGATTTCCACACCCAAACTTGCAGGCAGGCACTGCTTTCAACCACGAGGTTTGCACACGAAGCCACACCTCAGCAATCTGAGTGCCTTGTGACGCCTTCTCCCCTTCATCTCCCTCCTAAATCAGGAATCTTGGCAGTTCTCTCTCCTCACACAGTGAATGCAGGGCATTGCTAACACACTGGTGGATCTTCAGCAGTGCATTCAGCAGGTACTGATACCACCAAGAGTGTTTACACTGTCTCCAGCAATTCTCACTGGTGAATTCTAGAAAGATTCTCAGCTAAGCAAGCTACTTACTTATCTGGCTACCCCACCAATACAGGACTAACAGATCCTGGTAAAACTTGGGATGCAGGCTCCTGCAAAGCTATGGGCTGCACTGGCTATCTGAAATGAGTGGAAAATAACATATATTCATTAATAACAATGTATTTATTATATATTTATTTTAAATGAGTATATGAATACATAATCAATACATTATTTATAATAACTGGAAATAAGTAAAACAATAGTGGGAAGTCTCTGGTACAGCTGTCAAGAAATAGAGGAAGCCTATAATATAGATCCATAGTAAACTTAAAAATTGAATAAAATTACCTTGTGTTCTAGGACAGGAAGGAAAGAGGGACATGGGGAACCCAGATATAACCTTGGCACCCAAATGCTGTTTAGACTACCTACAGCTCCTCCTTTTAGCTTTAACCTGTTCTCTGTCAGCTACAGGCAGATAACCTTTCAGCCTACTCCTGTAGGCTACCCTAGGCCCTGCTGGGAGAAGCAACCACAGAATCACAGAGTATCCTAAATGGGAAAGGACCCACAAGGATCATGAAGTCCAACTCACAGCCCCTCACAGGACACCCTAGGAGTCACACCATGTGCCTGAGAGCATTGTCCAAAGGCTCTTTGAGCTCTGGCTGGCTGGTGCTGTGACCACTGCCCTGGGCAGTGCCAACCAACCTCTGGGGGTAGGAACTTTTCCTAATGTCCAGCATAAACCTCCCCTCACACAACTTCAGGCCATTCCCTTGGGCCCTGTCACTGTCACCACAAAGAGATCAGTGCCTGCTCCTCCTCTACCCCTCGCCACAAACTTGTAGACAGCAGCAGGGTCCCTGAAAGACATTAAGAGCACAACTCTGCTGCTGATCCCTCCTTGAGCACAGGACACGAAGATCAAGACACAGGATGAAGTCTTTGGTTGTGGCTGAGAAAAAAAGAGCCCCTTGGGTAGAGAATTCAGAAGAGTGAAGGAGATGGATTTCAAATCTGTGAACCTCAGCAAACAACACTTTTCCTCTATTGTTCATGAAAATTCAAGGTTGCAAAGCATTATTACACTGGACAACATGTAGGCTGCCTGTGTTCTCGTTTATACAGACCTAATTTAGTATTACACTTCCTCTTCTTTCAGCCACTGCTTCTGCAAGCAGCAATCCCAGTATGGACTCAAAAAAAAGCCTCTGAAAGCTCAGCTTTCTGAGTACTGCTGTGCAGTCACTTGCATCTGTAATTTACTCTCACAGAAATAAATGCTAACGTGCTTGGAAAATGCGACTTAATTTTGTGATGTGAATAAATTTTCCTGTGTAAATCTCTCTATACAATTTTATGTTATTCTTTCTAAAAAACCAGAAATTACTACTGCATTCTAGTTGCAGTTCCAGAGTGAATACTGGGATTTATAATCTGAGATTTACCACCGCATGACACAAGGGAACCGCTCTAACTCCCCTCCTGCATTTACTAACAACAGAAGTGTTGTGTTCACATTAAGATGGATGCATTTACTAAATACAAAATAAAGTAATTGAAACACTGAATAGCGAACAGACATTTCCACATATTTCACAAACCCATCAAAGAAATCCTCTGTCATTGGTGCAGAAGGCTTTGGCATGTTACTCATCACAACTTTATCTCATAAGAAGAAAATCAAGGAAGGTGATTTATCCCCAGACTCCCACCTCTCTGGCACCCAACCACAGGCAAGTCGATGGCAAGCTGCTGCTTTACATACATCTTCCTTTTTTATGCTCCAAAGAAAAAAGAGGGAAAGTCAGAAAAAATTAAAAACCAAAATAAATGATTCCTTGAAGGAGAGAACTACACTACAAGTAATTATAGATATGTGTTTATTTCAGAAAGCAATACTACAGAAGGACAACTTTATGAAGCAGCAGCATCTGAGATTTTACCTTCCTAAAGCAACTAACACAGAAAATATTTCACCTGTTTCCTACCTGCATGCATATATATATATATATATATATATATATATATATTTATGTTATTTGGCACAGGGGATGCAGCTTAGGTAAAACGGTTTCTCAAATCACATAACACCTAATATTGCAAAAGCCATGGAAATTACAGGTTCCACGCATCCATCTACCCAAATATCATTCAGAAAAGATATGCAGTAGCCCTTGTCTCCTTCAGTTTGAGGCCACTGCTCAGGATGATTTGCATTGCTATTCTGTATAAGACAGTAACATTATCTCAATGCAAATGTTTCTATGTAATATAGTGAGTAATTACCAAAAGCATCATGGCACCATGTCCTCATGTTATACTTACTTTAGTACATGAGGAAATAAAGTAAGTGTAACTTCCAGAAGTCAGGTAGGCAGTCCATGGCAGCAGTGAGAACTGAATGCAGATCTCCAGGTTGTGTATTACCCAAAATATCAAACTACCCTTTAAAAAAGTAGTAAATCTTTCAGAGCATGCTGTTTTTCTTCCCTTCTGATGATGAAATAGATTCTGCATTCTCTTTTTCTTGCTTTTATAGGTCACCAGGCTACACAAACAGCTTATTCTGTATGTGTAAAAAAGGCAGCTTCAGAACACCTGTTCGCTTTGGCTGGACTGAGACTGTACATACTTTTTAAGTACAAAGACCGACAATTCCTCTGACTCCTCAATTATCTTTATGATCTACATGATCATTTTGATTAATATCTGACAATGCTCTTCTGTAGTCCTGGCAAGGTTAGATGCATATCATTACCAGCTCACTCATGTTTTTGTCCAGGAAAAGCTATAGGAGCAAATATATTTGTGATATTCACGTCTTCCCTGAGGGAAAGAAGGACCTATCCCAAGAGGTTGCATTCAATCATCTCCTCCATAGAGAGTTAAATGCTGAGCTGTGGTAAACATCACAGTCAGACAACAGAATATTAAAACAACAGGAAAAACCATCCTTACTCATCTCTTTTATGCAACATACCTACTGCAATTCAAGGAGATAAAAATGTGTGAATTATTGGGATTAAGCCTGTGAAATATAATTGAAGATAACCAGAGGCCAAAAGCAAACAGCAGCAATCATTAGTAGAGACTGGAGAACCTCAAACCTACATCATCGAGTAAATTCATGGTGAGCCCCATCCTGCAATGCACTTAGTGAGAGTCACCTCACCTCACAGAGGATGTGTCAGGCAGACAGTGAGGGTGAACTGATCTGTTGAAACACTTGTTCCCTCCAGGAGGCAGAAGAGATTTCCATATCATCAGAAATAGCAGATACATGGCAATACGATTCCCATTTAATAAAATAGGAGTTAACTATTAAGCAGCAGATTTAAATCTACTGAATAAAGCAGTAGTTTTCTACATGGCACATCACTCCCATATGGAACTGACTGCTCCAGCACACTCTACAGAGCAACAGTAAGATTAGCTGCAAAGATGGATCTATTGAAAAAGAAGGTCCAGACACATGTTGGACCAGACATGGAACAACTTATGCCCCTCACTTTCAGAAACTAGGAGGCTCTATGAAGGGCAGAGGAACATTATACCCAACTTGTGCTGGGTTCTTGCAGTAGTTATCTATCCACAGGAGACGGGTGATGCAGCACAGACAGGCTGTGCTGCTGAGATGAATGATTTCAGCAAGGCACTACAACTCTTGTGGTGGAGTTCTCAAATCTCCTCGCTTCTTTCCTCTACCAAATCTGCTTCCAGCCCTGGGCACAGTGCAGAAGTTGCTGTCAGCACTGACTCATATTCTCCTTAAAATGGATAAAGATCAACAGCCATTGACCAGGAAGTCTCACCAAGAAGCCTGCAGCCCCCATCAGATCCCAGCTGAATCACTGCTAATTGCATCTCACATACTGCCTGCAGTGCAAAAGAAGGTTGTCACCTCGGGTCTCTTCCATCATCTCTCCTTATCAGTCAGCATGTGTGAGGTCAATGGTGAAAAGAAAGTCAGATGGCTATGTGGACACTGATGTCAAACTGCCAGGACTCAGTTTAAGGAGCAGAAATAAAGAGCAGCCTGTTTTCTCTAGGTTTCCTCCATGAGCTAATAATGTCTCCCTTCTCCTTGGAGATGATGTAATTCAAACTTTCAGTCTTCCAAGAAGTGGAGAGTTGAAGAGCCATATGCTACACATGTCATTTTGGGCCCAGTTGTTTCATAAAGCAAGTAGACAAATCATACAAGTTGGGCACAGGAATTCCTGCTCCATTTGTGAGATTCTTGTTTATGCATGCAAAGCACTAGCATGGTTATCTCTGGCAAATGAAGGAGAATATAAATTAAAGTAAGTATTAATCACACACTTTATCTGCAATCTAAACTAGCAGGTTATTTTCATTCTATATATGAACATATTCTTGAAGCTGCAAGATAGTAATTTAAAAGACAAGCAATTCAAAGCTTTCACAGATGACACTTCAGGTAATGAGATTTTTTTTTCCCCTGACATCTTGTGTTTCATCTTACCTTACAACTAAATTATTTAGTGTATTTTTAAATATATATATATATATATATATGTATGACCTACTTATTTTGAGTTTTCAATTAAAAAATAGATATTCCAAGAAAAAATATTTCCTATGCTATCATCAAATAAAGGAAGTTGACTTAATCCACGAAACAAAGACTTGTGAAGGTGAGACACATGCACCAGTGAGCACGAGAAATCTTTTGAACTGCAGTTCTAACTCAGAGAAATGAGTTTTCAATTAAAAAACAACATTTCCCATGTGACTCTCCCAGTCACTAAAGCACATGACAGCTTCAGCCGCTATCAGTGTGGTGGCTGTGACAGGTCACCCCGCAAAGGATGTTGAATGTGCAGCTCATATTTAATTGGCTTGATTGTAGGGATTTGCATATACATAAAACACAGGCTGATGTGAAGACTTCATCAGCATGAAATGGAGGTGGTTACATTCTCCATGCATGACCAAAGCAGTGAGGACAATCAAAGACTTTAATGTAATGAGAGTTTTTAACACTTTAATTGCCTCTGCTGAGTGCATAAATAGACTGATAGAACAATAATGGA